CAAGGCTGGGCAGCCATCAGGTCCAGTGGCCACACGCTAACACACCTTTGTGTCCACGGCTCCCAAAGCAAGTGCACTAAGTGGCACCACCGGGCTTTTTCTCAGCCTGTTTCTTGCACAGTTATGGCAGCAGTCCATGAGTGCAGGGTGTTTGGTGGTTCTGAGCTGTTGATTCTGTTTAGGGTCGTTCTGGTCTGGGACAATTAGAGTGAGATTTTCAAGTTCTGTATGTGTTGGTTTTGGAGAAAGGCTGAGATTAAGTTTGTAAGAAATGGATCCCTGAGACCAGTGTGTCTGGATTGGGAGAGGATATTCCTGGATCAAGAGAGAGTCTGGTAAGGTTAGTGGAATTCATTTGGATTTGTGATGCTTTTCCAGCCGCACTGTGGAAAGGTAAATATCCAAAGATGCAAGAATAGTGGACTACTGGTGGGGAAACCATGAACTCTGTCTTTTCTTTGTAGAGCAGTTCCCAAGCCCTCAGTGGGGCCACCTCCATTTCTTGAACATCGCTGCTCATCTGCTTGTGCTTGGACACAGCTCAGACAGGCCCAAACGAGCCAGCATCACTCCATCTTCTCCTGGTGGACTGAGGATCGTCATCACTGTGGTTTGAACATGTCCCCAGAGTTCCTATGTTGGAAATTAATTCCCAGTGCAACAGTGCTCAGAGGTGGAGTACCTGTATTTAAGAACTGTTTAGGTCAAGAGGCCTCCACCCTTGTGAATGGATTGATGCTGATTATAAACCAGCTTGAGGTTATTCATCCTCTTGCTCTCTCTCATCCTCTTTGCCCTTCCGCGCCACACAGTGACACAGCAGGAAGGCCCTCACCAGACGCTGGCCCCTCGATTTGGACTTCCCAGCCTCCAAAGCAGAGAAATCCATTTCTTTTCTTTGTAAAATACCCAGACTATGGCATTCTGTTACCAAAATGGACTAAGAAAACCTACGGAACAGGAGACAGGTTTAGAGACAAGGCTGGACTCAGAACAGTTTTAGTGAGAGACTGTGAAGTATCTTCATCTACCTTCATTTTTGAGCTGTGAATAGTAAGAAGATGGGAAAGACCACAGAGAGTGTCAATGTTTTATTTTGTTTTTCTGTCAGAAATGTGACAAGAAAAAAGCTTGAAATTTAAAAGAACCAACCAGCCGGGACTGTGACTGCATTCATCATGAATTACGTAGATTGACAGGCTATTCCGTGCAACTCTGCTCCAGATTGGCTGAGGCCCTAAGACAATAGGTAAGACACATTCTAGGGTAAGAAGCCAACTTGGGGGTTCTCTTGTGACTTTCTGGGGAAGGAGGGGTTTGTAGCCTCCTTGCAGTTTTCTGGGGTCCCCCAGAGTATAAGAAGCCATTCAAACTGCTGCTATCTCTTCAAAGTTTGTATTTTTTTGTTTTTTTTGAGTACGTGTCCTTCCCTGGAAATGTGCAGTGACTTTCTAAATTTTCCTGGACATGCAGCTGCTTTTGAAAATTCTTATCTTTAAATGTCTGGCCCCACATGGCAGGGGGAAGGAAAATTACAGGAGAAAAAAAGAATAACAAACAGGCATTGGCCCTCTATATTCCCTTAAGCCTCTTCAGGTGATGAAGGTTTGCAGCCATGGTGGTCTAGCTCTGGGACTGCACCCCACCATCAGAAACAGCAGTGGACATCAGAACATACAATCCCCAAATTTGGAGGACAAGGTCCTTAATGGTCATTGTAAGCAGCTGTCTGCCAGAGGGTTGAGAGATGGGGGACAGGTAGGTACTAATCTGCTAAGGGCTGAAAATACCTAAAAATTAGCTACGATTTGCTAACTAAGCCTTTCCCTGTAAGCTGCATCTTTGAACAGACTCATGTTCCAAAACAGTTACATCACTCAGGTTTGAGTATCTCTTAAAACAACCCTTTCCAGCATAAATACTTATATGAAATTTTTCATATACTTACATGTATATAAAACTTGCATGTCCCCAAAGTGCTATACAACATTATAAAAACATCTGTGTGAAGAAAAGCCTTGAATTATATTTATATTGCAAAAGTTACAGAAGACAGGCACATGGGGGTACACTTTGAAAATACACCAGGTGGCTTGCTAGGTGAAGTATCTCTGGAGTACAGTGGCACAATCCTGGCTCACTGCAACCTCTGCCTCCCAGATTCAAGTGATTCTTGTGCCCCAGCCTCCTGAGTAGCTGGAACTACAGTGTGCCACCATGCCCAGCTAATTCTTATATTTTTAGTAGAGACAAGGGTTTCACCATGTTACCCAGGCTGACCTGCCTCGGCCTCTCAAAATGTTGGAATTACAGGCGTGAGGCACCTGCACCTGGCCCCTGTTTCTTTTAATTACATACAAAGGCAGAAGTAACAATGCTGTTAGTTCTGTGGTCAAGTGATGTTCTAGCATATTCAACTATGACATTTTATCATGCCTGGGAGTTCTGAGTTTACATGTACTTCACAATTTCACCCAATGAAAACAGGCTTAAGTAATCCACCCAACTCAGCCTCCCAAAATGCTGGGATTACAGGCAGGAGCCACTGCTCCCAAATCTTTATAGTCAGCACCCCAAGTCAGAACTCTAGATACACAAAACATGATAATTTAAATAACTTAAAATAAGCCTTCTGTATGTCAGCAAAGCCTTGATCAAAGAAAAATGGTAAAATGAAATGTTTTATCTTGATAAATTAGAGGAATATTTAATATCCTTAAGAGTTCTAATTTTATAATTAAAATCATGTCATTATCTTTTTTTTTTGAGACGGAGTTTCGCTCTTGTTACCCAGGCTGGAGTGCAATGGCGCGATCTTGGCTCACCGCAACCTCCGCCTCCCGGGTTCAGGCAATTCTCCTGCCTCAGCCTCCTGAGTAGCTGGGATTACAGGCACGTGCCACCACGCCCAGCTAAGTTTCTGTATTTTTACTAGAGACGGGGTTTCACCATGTTGACCGGGATGGTCTCGATCTCTCGACCTCGTGATCCACCCGCCTCAGCCTCCCAAAGTGCTGGGATTACATGCATGAGCCACCGCGCCCGGCGTAAAAAATCATGTCATTATAATAGAATTCATGTAAGAGCATCAGTGTACAACTCAAAAATGAGGGAGACTGTTGTGTAAAGATGTCACCGTTTGATTAAATCTACTCTTGAGATGGATTTGACTTGTAACTGGTTGTTATCATGAAAGATGGTGTACATGGGCTAGTTTCTTCAGTCTTTTTTTTTTTTTTTTTTTGAGACGGAGTTTCGCTCTTGTTACCCAGGCTGGAGTGCAATGGCACTATCTTGGCTCACCACAACCTCCGCCTCCTGGGTTCAGGCAATCCTCCTGCCTCAGCCTCCTGAGTAGCTGGAATTACAGGCACGCGCCACCATGCCCAGGTAATTTTTTTTATTTTAGTAGAGACGGAGTTTCACCATGTTGACCAGGATGGTCTCGATCTCTTGACCTCGTGATCCACCCGCCTCAGCCTCCCAAAGTGCTGGGATTACAGGCTTGAGCCACCGCGCCCGGCCCTTCTTCAGTCTTAATTTAAATATGTAATTAGGCCAGGCTTGGTGGCTCACACCTGTAAGCCCAGCACTTTGGGAGGCTGAAGTGAGCAGATTACTTGAGGTTTGGAGTTCCAGACCAGCCTGGCCAACATGGTAAAACCCTGTCTCTACTAAAAATACAAAAAAGAATTTAGCCGGACATGGTGGTGGGTGCCTGTAATCCCAGCTTCTTGGGAGGCTGAGGCAGGACGATCACTTGAACCCAGGAGGCAGAGGTTGCAGTGAGCCAAGATTGCACCACTGTATTCCAGCCTGGGCGACAGAGTCAGACTCTGTACCCATCCCCCGCAAAAAAGTAAATATGTAACTGACCTTACCTGACTGGTTTTCAACAATACGCACTCGCTCTTCCTCCACTGTTTGGCCTACCTAACATCAATTCCAGGAAAGCCTATTGTTCTTTCTGAGTAAGACGGCTGGGATGCCTTAGCTTTATTTAATCTATCTTGAGGGAGGGACAGTTCTTCCCTCAAGCATATTTTTATTTAGAAATTGTTTCATTTGGACATCTCTTAGATCATGGAGGTGCTTTTGAGGTGGTATGTGAGGTGTTTTTATGTTTTTCTGAACATACAATTTCAGGGACGGGCCACGGAATTAGGAGAATATCCACATTTAATTGCCTAATGCTTCCCCAAAAAGTATTTTTGCTTTAAAACAAAGTAGAAATGTCGTATGTTTTTTGCCCTTTTATTTGGCCAAATCAACAGTTGACTATAAACCAAAAAATGAGCTAAATAAATCAAAGCTACTTTCTTCTGGAGGTTTATTTTGGATACAATAGTTGAAGACAGATTACAATGATACATTATACAAAAAGACTAGAAAATAATTTAAGAGGGTATTTTAAGCATGGGATTCTGACACACTCATAAACATGTTTGCTCCCAAGCTCTTACTACAGAAAATAAGGTTTTTCTCCATCAAAAATAACCCAGTTTCACCAGTAAATCTTCCCAGTTCTGAAAATCTGAAGCAACTGACAGATACTTCATTAAATGTAGAAACATTATCTACTCAAGATATTTGTAATATTACCCAGTGACAAACATTTTCCACATTTATACAGGATTAACCACAGTTTTCACAGCAAAGCAACAAGTGCTTTACTGATTCTCTTTTTCAGTTTTTTTTTTTTTTTTTTTTTTTTTTTGAGACGGAGTTTCGCTCTTGTTACCCAGGCTGGAGTGCAATGGCGCGATCTCGGCTCACCGCAACCTCCGCCTCCTGGGTTCAGGCAATTCTCCTGCCTCAGCCTCCTGAGTAGCTGGGATTACAGGCACGCGCCACCATGCCCAGCTAATTTTTTTTGTATTTTTAGTAGAGACGGGGTTTCACCATGTTGACCAGGATGGTCTCGATCTCTCGACCTCGTGATCCACCCGCCTCGGCCTCCCAAAGTGCTGGGATTACAGGCTTGAGCCACCGCGCCCGGCCTCTTTTTCAGTTTATAGATAACTCCAATTTCATGAAATCATACTGTACCAAGCCAGCAAATCAACAGCCGCAGCCTCGCCAAGCCACACCAACGGCAGGGACCCTATCTCCTGTCCTTTTTGCCAGCTTTCCTCTTTCCAGAGAGTAAGTGCTTGGGCTTCATATCAAACACATGTCTGTCTGCCTCCCCTTTCTTCCCCAACCGATTCATCTTCTTCTGAGCATTCTTCATCATGGTCTTGGCTTTCTTCACCATCTAAAAAGATGAGAAAAGTTATGTTCATTACTTAAAACCAATTTTCCATTCTGAATTTTAACTACTGGTGAGAAGGTTTCAATGGCTCAGGCCTGCCCCGTGAAGAGACCCTGTTACATCTCTTTTCTCTTAGGCCCAGCACAGTATCTGCAGGAACTCAGTATTTTTGTATGAAGACTGGATGAAAACCATACCTAGGACAGGTTTTATAGCCAGGACATTTTAGACCTAGAAGTTTAGAACACATCTGTCTAACTCCCGCTTACACAGGCCAGGTTTCACGATGGAAATGGCACGGGGGAGTGAAACTCAGCCTTCCATGAAAGAGACCTCAGCAGTTTTATACAGAGACTTTCTCTGGCACCTACGTTTCCACAATGCTGAAACCACAAGTTTTTTTGTTTAATAAAAGGACATTTCAGCAAGAGAGACTGTACATCTAAAGTGTCTTTGCCGAAAGACACTACAAATGAACTAAATGTGACTCAAGAAACAATGCTGCAACCTAAGAAGAGCATGATCCGCCAGTCCACCCAGCAGTTCCCTGCCGGCTCTTCCTCCCATGGGCTTGCTGGGACTGGAGGCCTCCTGGTGCTTAGCAGTGGCCACTTGCTGGCCCTCTTCAGACAGCAGGGCCTGATCCCAGACTGCAGGTCCTGTCGACCATGCTCTGCCCCCTATTCCGAGGAAGGAAAGCACCAGGGACTGGTCCATCCAGGGCAACTGTCCAGAGGCATCTGCCTGCACCCTGGCCCAAGCTCTTCCCCCAAAGGATGCCACAGAATGAGAGCACACAGGGCACACAAGCCCTGCTGTAGCCCCTGCAAATGACAGCTGCTGGTGTCTGCCCTGAACCTTGTGCAGTAAACAGCACGCAGTGCACACAACCCCTGCCATAGCTCCTGCAAATGATAACTGCTGATGTTTGCCCTGAACCCTGTTCAATCAACAGTAGAGACTGTTATTTTATTCCATAAGATGACACAGAAACTGACCTTGACATCCCGAAGACCAGAAACGTCACGTGGAGCTCGAGAGCAACTCCGACTGTGACTCCGGGCCACAGAGGAGCGGGGAGCAGAGTCTTCCCGCTTTCTTTTCCTAGTGACGCTCCGGGATCTTCTTGCCTGGACTGCGTAGTGGGCCTGCAAAGCAGGGTAAACAATGCTCAGTGCTCAAGACCCCAGCACCGCCTCTAGGTTCAGCGACAGACACGAGGTCACTCCAGCAAGAGGGGAGGAGAGAAGTGTTTGAACCGTTACCATATGGGCTAACGATCTTGAAAATACAGTATTTTCAGCCGGGCGTGGTGGCTCAAGCCTGTAATCCCAGCACTTTGGGAGGCCGAGGCGGGTAGATCACGAGGTCGAGAGATCGATACCAACCTGGTCAACATGGTGAAACCCCGTCTCTACTAAAAATACAAAAAATTAGCTGGGCATGGTGGTGCGTGCCTATAATCCCAGCTACTCAGGAGGCTGAGGCAGGAGAATTGCCTGAACCCAGGAGGCGGAGGTTGCAGTGAGCCGAGATCGCGCCATTGCACTCCAGCCTGGGTAACGAGAGCGAAACTCCGTCTCAAAAAAAAAAAAAAAAAAGAAAATACAGTATTTTCATATTAGTGACATTTTCCATGTCAGTTTCACATTAGTAACAATTTCACATTAGTTATTGGTCAAATATTCTTATTTGCTTAACAGAGGCTGCTTTATGTAAGAAAGCTGATTTTAACTCCACTTAAAGAAACTCAGAACTCTCATTTTAAAATGCTTATTAGAGTATCACATCACGATTTGTATTTCAGACATAAAGCTCTCTCCCTAATCACCCCATTTTTGGGGTTACTGATATGAACACAAAGGGACAATCATCAGACAGAAACTGCAGACTACACATCTGGAGGACAGGGTCTGCAGCCACACCCAGGCACATCATGGCACTGCCTCACACTGCCTGTGGAATTTTTTTTTTTTTTTGAGACAGAGTCTTGCTCTGTCACCCAGGCTGGAGTGCAGCCTCAACCCACCACTTCAACCCAGACTCAGGGTCAGGGGGAATCCTCAACCCACCAATTCAAACCAGCTCCAGGGCCAGTGAATTTTCAACCCAGACTGAGGGTCAGGAAATCCTCAAGCCACCACTTCAGCCCACACCCAGAGCCAGCAGAAATCTCAAGAGAAAAACTGGAAGCTCTCATTGCTTTTTGCTGTAATTTCTCACGGCTTTCCAGGACATTGGTTTTCTCTTTTTTCCTTTTGACACAGAGTCTCTGTCGCCCAGGCTGGAGTACAGTGGCACAATCTCAGCTCGCTGCAACCTCCACCGCCCGGGTTCAAGCAATTCTCCTGCCTCAGCCTCCTGAGTAGCTGGGATTATGGGGGCACACCACCATGTCCTGCTAATTTTTTGTATTTTTTTAGTGGAGATGGAGTTTCACCATACTGGCCAGGCTGGTCTCAAACTCCTCACCTGATGATCCACCTGCCTCAGCCTCCTAAAGTATTGGGATTACAGGCGTGAACCATGGCGCCCAGCTGGTTTTCTTTATTAAAAAGGTGTATCCAGCCACATGAACACGTGAACCGCCCCCCACACTCACGTTGTCTTTATTGTCCATGTCAACACCAAGACTACGCATCTCATTCTCCAAAACTGTCCTCTGAACCTAAGAAGAAAAAAATGACAGGTTTGCTTTAAGAAAATTAGTTTGATGAAATGTTGAAAAAAACTTCACAGGAAAAAAATATATATATATTCCAACAATCATTTTAGAAGTTGCAATTTTTACTGGGCCTTGCTTTCATGTTTTTGGATAGCTCAATTAAATCCCACGAAAACTGACATTTACAGAGCAGTTGCTGTGCTAAGACATGGCATCTCCTCCACGTCTGTCTACTCTCACCACAGCATGGGAGAGAGGGACCGTCTCCATCACAGGCGAGACACTAAAGCTGAGGTTGGCGAGGTGGCCTAAGACAAAGGCAATGTGCCAACCTCTCTACTCCCAGAGATGGCAGAGCCCCACCGAGAAAAACACAAAAATGTCCAAGTCCACCATAACCAGTCACTTGCCACCATGTGAAAACAACGTATCCTGAATGTCACGTTACTTCCCCTCCAGTTACGTGTTAACTGCCCCACCCCACCCTGCCACAGAGCCAATGAACTGCCTTCTGTAGACTGGGTCAGGTTCCTGTAAATTGCTAGAGTCCAGATTTAATGCAGCAATTAAAGAGCAAGAAAACCAGCCAGTCGCGGTGGCTCACGCCTGTAATCCCAGCACTTTGGGAGGCCAAGGCGGGCAAATCACTTGAGGTCAGGAGTTTGAAACCAGCCTGGCCAACATGCTGAAACCCCATCTCTACTAAAAATACAAAAATTAGCTAGGCGTGGTGGCAGGTGCCTGTAATTCCAGCTACTCAGGAGGCTGAGACAGAAGAATCACTTGAACCTGGGAAGTGGAGGTTGCAGTGTCAAGACTGCACCACTGCACTCCACCTGGCCGACAGAGAAAGGCTCCATCTCAAAAAAAAAAAAAAAAAAGAAAGAAGTAAGAACAGGAGGCCGGGCGTAGTGGCTCATGCCTGTAATCCAAGCACTTTGTAGGCCAAGACGGGCAGATCACCTGAGGTCGGGCGTTCAAGACCTGCCTGACCAACATGGTGAAACCCCATCTTAAAAAAAAAAAAAAAAAAGAAATAAGAACAGGAAAATGTTAACTGATTGCCTTAAACATCGATGAACCGTAAGTTACAATTTTAATCTGTACAACTGCAAAATGGCTGGATCCATAATAGTGGTAAACTCAAAGCTGAAAGTCACCAAGAAAGGACACAGTAACTAGAATATAAAAGATCAGGATGTGAGCAATACTGCAAACACACCAACAAAAGAAAAATGTGCAATCTTATGGCCATAAATGGGTTGAAAAGTTGTTATTTAGCAATGATTACACGGGAATCCAGTTTGCAAAAAATAGATCACACCTCTTTGGAAAGACTCAAACTTGCCTTCTTAGCAGTTCGAGGCATCCTGGGTCCCTGTGTATTCTTTTCTTTGGACTCCAGAATTTTCAACTTCTTCTTCTCTCTAATCTGCTTTGCCAGCTGTCGGATTTCCAGCATCTCCTCATCTTCACTCTCAGAGTCACTGTCATACTCTCCAGCAGCTGTTCTCAGCTCTTCTTCTTTTTCTAATTCTTCCAATTTCTTTTAAAATAGAGTTGTAATGAAGCAAAATTAACAGTGCACAAAGTCCTAAGTGAGTGAGTGTGGCAGCGTGTGCAGGAGAGCCGTGTTTCCCTGCCTCGGAGGGCGGCGCGAATGCCCTGGTCAGGTCCCACCTGGCCCTGCCTACCTATGTGCAGTCTATCTCACAGGGTGGGTTCCATGATGAAAATGGAGACCACGTGAACACCAGTTGCCAGCAAGTCAGTAACTTTCCTTCTTTGAGGAAAACCATTTTCCTTCTTTAAAACAATGAAACTCCAAGGCTTAAACTGTGCAGAGACCAACCCCCTCACTTCCAGTGCTCCCAGCAGACACACAAAAGGCGCTTAGTCCTAAGAAATGGAATTCGTGCCACATCCCATGTATCTATTCTAACGTCACCCCAAATACTGCCTCACTGGCTACTTTTTCACATGACAAAAATGAAAACGAAATACATGCAGGTTCATCATACCCTAATGAAGCAACCCGGTCAGGAGCCCAACAGGCAGATATGCCTGGGTGTGAGACTCTGGCCAGGAGCACAGAGGGTGAGGCTGGGGGGCCAGGCCTCACAGAAGGGGATGGCATGGGCACAGCTGGATCAGAGGAGGGGAGTCCCAAGGTTTCTCTCGCCCAGGAGCGTGGACGGCAGAGGCAAGAGGCTGGCAAGGCAGGTGGCCACTGCGTGGTCAGTGAGGGCGCAGGCTGGACAAAGGCCCCAGCAGTGGCGAGAGCAGATGCCCTGAGGCCACTCCTCTGGCACCAACGGAATGGAGATACTGCCCCAGAATCTGCTATGCAGGTGCAAGGAGCACAGAGACACGAGACTGAAAACGTTAACTAGATTATGGAGCGCCGATGGGAACCACGGAGTGGAAACAGGACACGCAGCCAGCAAGTACTGTACATAGCATTTTCCAAAAAGCTCAACTGAGAGAAAAAGACAGGACAGCAACTAACGGGGGACACGGTTTAAGTATGTTTTTGTTTTTTAAAAAGATGAGTAAAACTTGTGAACATTTATATGCTAAGAAAAAGCAAGGAGGAAGGGGAGTGAGGCAGGAAAAAGATGTGACAGAGCAGAGCTCCCGAGGAAGAGAGCCCAGCACAGCAGAGCCCAGCCAGGGCCGAGTGTTTCCACCAGAGTCTCGGGGTGGGGCAGAGGTGCAGGAGAATGACGGGGACTGGGCACAGCAGTACTCTGCCAGGGCGGAGTGTCTCCACCAGACTCAGGGTAGGGAAAGTGCTGCGGGGGCAGAGTCAGGGTGGAGGCAGTGGGTGCAGGAGAATGAAGGGGACGGGCCCGGTGAGCCAAAGCTGTGCTGCTATTTTCCAGCAGTAACATAATAAAAAGGAAAAAAACCCACAATTTAAAAAGTGACACAAACCTTCATAATGGCTGGATCAATATAATCAGCGATATTATGGCCTTCCCAGATTTCTGGTATCTTATCATGTTTTTCAGACGAATTCATTAAATCCCAGTACTCTAAAGTTAGAAAAAAGTGGTCACATTTATAGTAAATTTTTTTTTTTTTTAAATGAGACAGAGTTTCGCTCTTGTTACCCAGGCTGGAGTGCAATGGCGCGATCTCGGCTCACCGCAACCTCCGCCTCCTGGGTTCAGGCAATTCTCCTGCCTCAGCCTCCTGAGTAGCTGGGATTACAGGCACGCGCCACCATGCCCAGCTAATTTTTTTTATTTTTAGTAGAGACGGGGTTTCACCACGTTGACCAGGATGGTCTCGATCTCTCGACCTCGTGATCCACCCGCCTCGGCCTCCCAAAGTGCTGGGATTACAGGCTTGAGCCACCGCGCCCGGCTATAGTAACTTTTAATGTCTTCAAGTACTATGTGCGTAAAATGAGTTGCGACTGACGGCAAGTTGTGACTCCACCGCATGAGAGCACAGCATGCAATTCCACATGCGAGCAGCACCACCCTCATTCAACACCCACACGTGCAAAAGCCACAGAAACCACCCTACCATCCCAAAACAACAGAAAATAATGGAAGAACTCTGAGTGCTGTGAACTTTTTTCTTGGGACAGAGTCTCGGCTCTTTTATCCAGGCTGGAGGGCAGTAGTGTGCTTTCTGCTCACTGCAGCCTCAACCTCCCCGGCTCAAGTGATCCTCCCATCTCAGCCTCCCGTGTAGCTGGGATTGTAGGTGCACGCCACCATGCTAGGCTGATCTTTGTATTTTTTGTAGAAACAGAGTTTTGCCATGTTGCCCAGGTTGGTCTCAAACTCCTGGGCACAGGTGATCAAAGTGCTGTGATTACAGGTATCAGCCCCTGCACCTGGCCCTCAGGATACAACTTTCACTCTTCCAAGAAACTACAAGTTGATAAACAGGCTATATACCACTTTTACTCATTCAAGTCTCTTCCCACTATTCTGAAATACTTCACATGTAATCGGCATTTTAAAATAATGATCACACTCTGGCCCTTACTCTGAAGATCCAAAATGTAATCATCTCCCATTTCCAGCTCAAGATCTCGTTCCTGCAATGGAAAGAGAAATTATCATCAGCTTCATTTTGCCTTTCAGTGCTCTGCCCCTTTCTTGCCATATGAAACCCTCTCTCTCCAGCCCTGTCAGTACCAGTAGGCTCACCTTCCGTGCCTTTCAGTGCTCTGCCCCTGTCTTGCCATATGAAACCCTCTCTCCAGCCCTGTCAGTACCAGTAAGCTCAGCTTCCGTGTCTAGTAGGGAGGCTGTTTCTGGCCATCTGTGGACTGCCTGTCCTACTCATTCATTTTGTTCTTCCCTCAAGCCAAAGAGCTCCACGAGAGGAGGGGCTTCTGCGGGGGGTTCACTGCTGTGTCCACAGTCTGACGCCTGGACACCCACAGCTCCACTCCGATACCCCAGGCCCCTGCCCGCCCCCATGAGAACTCCGGCAGCATACCCTCTTCTTCTTGGGCTCCTCTATTTCCATCCTCTTCCTGCGTGCCACCACTCCTTCAGGGATGAAAGGGGGCCTCTCCTGAGAAGATATCATATAAAGTATTCACGTGGAATGCCTGCTGAATGAGAAACTTACAAAACCAAAAAAGTAGAAGCAAATTCCCTATACGCAAGGGGAACAGAAAACCACACCCAGACCAATTAATACCAACAAATTATTTTAGGGGAGAGGAGTCAGTTACAAGGTCAGTTTGAGCACAGAGACCAGGAGGACTCCACAAATTGATTCCAAAATTTATTCAGGAAAAAATGAAATCATGATTATCGTGAAAAATTATGGAAGAAAGTGATAATAACGGTGGATCAACAAATTAAAGAAATTTAGACATAAACTCAAGTGCATATAAGAATTCAACAGAAAGGTAAGATAAATATTCAATACTCAGGTCAGAATGACTTTGCAACGAATGATAAGTCTTTCTATGCATGATGCCAACCTCAACAGCCAGAAATAAAATATTAATGTATGTTAATAGTTCAAAAATGTACAACACATTTGAGGTTAAAAAGGCAAATGACAAAAAGAGAAAAAAATATAATGTATCTGACAAGCATCCAACCTTTTTAATATAAAAATAACAAACCAGTGGCCAGGCGCGGTGGCTCACGCCTGTAATCCCAGCACTTTGGGAGGCCGAGGTGGGTGGATCACGAGGTCAAGAGATCGAGACTGTCCTGGTCAACATGGTGAAACCCCATCTCTACTAAAAATACAAAAAATTAGCTGGGCATGGTGGCGCGTGCCTGTAATCCCAGCTACTCAGGAGGCTGAGGCAGGAGAATTGCCTGAACCCAGGAGGCGGAGGTTGCGGTGAGCCGAGATCGCGCCATTGTACTCCAGCCTGGGTAACCAGAGCGAAACTCAGTCTCAAAAAAAAATAAAAAATATAAAAATAACAAACCAGTGAGAAAAAGATAAACCACCTAAAGAACTGAAAAGGCCAATGAGCAGACAAAAGCACTCACCCACACCCATCGTTACAGAAACACACAACAATAAAACCATTTTTACACCACAAGACGGACAGTTAGCACCCAGCCACATCCAGGACGTAACGAAAGACACAGCCTCCAATGTCAGTGAAGCACAAACAGGAGGGAGTTTGTGGGACAGCAACATTGTCGACACCACATCGTGAAGTCCAGACACATTTGCAATAAAACACGAAGACACAGCATAACGATGTGTACCCATCCACAATGGACAAATAATTAAAATTTATTATTTACTTTTTTTTTAAATAGACAGGATCCCACTACGTTGCCCAGGCTGGTCTTGAACTCCTGGGCTTAAGTGGTCCTCCCACCTTGGCCTCCCAAGTGCTGAGATCACAGGCATGAGCCACCTCAATCGGCCAAAGAAATGAAAATTTAAAGAATAAAACAGGCCGGGCGCGGTGGCTCAAGCCTGTAATCCCAGCACTTTGGGAGGCCGAGGCGGGTGGATCACGAGGTCGAGAGATGGAGACCGTCCTGGTCAACATAGTGAAACCCCATCTCTACTAAAAATACTAAAAAAAAAATAGCTGGGCATGGTGGTGCGTGCCTGTAATCCCAGCTACTCAGGAGGCTGAGGCAGGAGAATTGCCTGAACCCAGGAGGCGGAGGTTGCGGTGAGCCGAGATCGCGCCATTGCACTCCAGCCTGGGTAACAAGAGGGAAACTCTGTCTCAAAAAAAAAAAAAAAAAAAGAATAAAACAGATTTCCACCTGTGTTTAAAGAACTTTTTAAAAATTAAGCTTCTCTATCAGAAACATTTCTAGAATGATCAACTAGACTAACAGTGTGCGTCATGCAGTGAGAAGTGGGTGCCACATGGCGCTTTGCACTTTTCTGCACCTTCTTGATTCTTTACACAAGAAGGTGAAACTGAGGCCCACCCACAATATCCACCAGTATGCGTGTGAAACCGGATCCAAGGCTTCTGGAAAAGGCCCAAGGATGGCATCTGTCCCAGGGTAAGCCGTCTTACCTTATCGTCCCTCCTGGTTGGGACAGCCAGATGCAGTCTATTCAGCACCTCATTCACTTTATTTCCCTTCATTTTGGTTTCCACTCGATGAGCTAAAAGCCTATCACAAGCCTAATAACGTAAAAAACAAAGTCACAGACACATCCTGGAGCAGGTGCTTTAGGCTAAAACTGTCTGGGGTAGGAACAGCAAAGCATCCCCTCAAACCACACGGTCCACTGGGGAAAGTGGGTCTTGGAGGGGTCTCTCTTCATGCCCCTCAGCTCACTGCTGCGAGGGCTCCAAGTGTTAATGTCTAGAAAGAAAACTCTTTCATTGCGACGACTGACTTTAATCAAACGAGAAAGACAGTAAAAAGACTGATACCTGACTTAAGGCAGCACTGACCTCTGTTTTAACTTTAATAACACCTTCCTCAGTCAGGGTGCTGGTCTCTATTACAGGGAACCCTTCAGCCTGCAAATCTGTAAATATTTTCTGGGAATGCAAAGAAAAAATGAGAGATGTATTATTGATTTCCAGTTCCCTACAGAACAAACTGTATAGTTCTGCAGATGGAGGTTGCAAATATCAACTGTTCAACATCTGTGGCTGTTTCAAACTCTTAAAAAACAGACATATCCTAAAAAGTTACTTTCCTCATATTCTTCAATGATTAAGAAAATACAAATGACATCAACAAGATGGCCAACTAGTAGCCCCTCACATCTGTCCCCACAACAGAGGTAGTCAGAATAACGAACAACTACATGTGAATAACTGAGGGAGAGCTCCAGAGGGCATCACAGACCCTGGTGAGCACAGAAACGCAAGACAGTGAAATACAGCCCAAAGAAAACGCTGGGCTGCCAGCAACCCACCCCACAGCTGTGACACAATGGGACCCAGGAGGAAGGGGTGGGCAAGAGGATGCCAGCAACCCCCCCCTGCCCACCCCTATGGACATCCAGAGCCCTCACCACTGGCGTCCCCTGGCATCCTCACAGCTGCACGCCCTCGACAGAGGAGCTGACACTGGGCCCTGTCTGTTGGGCCCACGTGGCGACTATGCTCTACCATCTTGGGGTTGGAACTGCAGTTGGAGTGTGTCTTGTTCAGGGTACAGTAGCCACAGATCCCCTTCATCTCTGAGGCTAAGCTGCCTCGAAGTCACCCAAACCTGGTGGCCCACCATCCCTGAGCCAGCTGCAAGCAGCTGCTACACCCTTCCCAGCAGGGCTGGGTGAAGGTAAAGCCAGTCGACGCCCCCGTTGCTCCAGCATCCAACAGTACCCTGCCTTCTGGAAAACAGCACCTGGCCTCTCACAGCATCTCTGTCTCCCTGCTGCCTAAGCTGAAGCAGTGCCCTGCCTCCTGGAAAACGCCCAGAATGGTCACATAGCCCAGCACCTACACGGAAGAGGTACCATGTATCCCAGGGAAACGGTGCCTGGGCCGCCCAGAAAAGTCACACCCCACAGGCCCACACTGACCAGCCATGCACCATGGGGAGGAGCTGACATCATACTCTACATCCCAGGGAAACAGAGCAGAGGCACCTGCCCCACCATGCAAACAGCTCCAGCACCTGCTCTAACCCCGGAGCTGGAGTAACCCTACAGTCTGAGCTGTGGAGACACCACTCTTTCCAGGAAGTGGAGTCACTGCTGTTCTCCTCCCTGTCCTCCAGGGACCAAATGACAGCTGGACTGGTCCATTCTGGGGTCCTTGCTGCCACCTCACAGAGTCTGGGATACTGCTGGGCCCTTCCGTCCCAGGGTCCAGAGTTACTACTACACAGTGCCTCATCCCCTTGAGTTGACACTAAGCCCTCCCTACTGGCTCAGGTTTCTGAAGTGCAGCTGTACCTGGCTTCCCAGGCTCAAACTTCCAGAGTGCTTCTTCCCAGGAGTCAGGCTAGGACTCCTTACCCCATGGGTAGAGTCACAGCTACAACCTGGCCCTAGGCCTAAGCTGCTCGGGGTGCTTCAGAGTCACAGATCCGCTACAGGGAACAAACGTGCACCCCAAGGTCAGGTACCATGACAGGTACACAAGGCCCTAAGGCTGGAACCCCAGTCCCACAGCAATCTGGGTACCTGCAGCTAGAACCCAGTACTGTGGCAGCTACTTGCAGACCATGTCAGACAAGACACCAAGAGAGATACCCTCAGCTAAGTCCGCCATCATGGGGAAAACAAGAATAGCAGGACCCCAAAAGCCCTTCACACCCAGGATATTAAAAACATACACCGCCACTGGCACAGACTTCCAGAGCTGAGGTGACTGAGCCACCCAGTTATTGCTGTCATTTCATGGAGGTGAGGAAGCTGCACAGAAATGATGTCACTGCTCCTATCCAGAATGAGTCACAGTTCCCTTCCAAAATGGCACCAAACCCCAAATGAGGTGAAAATCTTTCTCCATGAAAACCACACCAGAAGAAAGTATAAAAGAGGCCATTGTTCTACTAGATGCAGTGAGATCAATGCAGGGACACAAGAAACATGAAAAAGCAAAGAAATAACAAATCTTGAAAGGAATACAACTCTCTAGAACAGACCCTAATGAAAAGGAAACCAATGAATTGTCAGAAAGAGAATTCAAAATAATAATTATTTTTTGAAGGAAACTCAATAAGAAACAAGAAAATATAGACAGACAATTCAACAGAATCAGGAAAACGATTTCATGATATGAACAAGAAATTAAATTGAGAAAGAAATTGTAAAGAAAAGAGCCAAACAGAAATCCTGTAGCTGAAGAATTTAATGAATGAGATGAAAATACAATAGACAGTTCTGTTTTTGTTTCTTAATTTCGTTTTCTTTGAGACAGAGTCTCGCCCTGTTGCCCAGGCTGGAGTACAATGGCACGCTCTCAGCTCACTGCAACCTCCTCCTCCTGGGTTCAAGCGATTCTCCTGCCTCAGCTTCCTCAGTAGCTGGGGTTACAGGTGCCTGCCACCATGCCCGCCTAATTTTTGTATTTTTAGTAAAGACAGGGTTTCACCATGCTGGCCAGGCCGGTCTTGAACTCCCGACCTCAGGCAATCCGCCTGCTTCGGCCTCCCAAAGTGCTAGGATTACAGACATGAGCCACCATGCCCGGCCCAATAGACAGTTTTAACAGCAGACTGGATAAACAAGAAGAAAAAAATCTCTGTCATTTGAAACTACCTAGTCAGAAAGAAAAAAAGGAGTAAGAACAAAAAAGGATGAAGGAAGCCTAAGAGATTTACGGGATAACGTTAAGTGAATACATGTTAGTATTATGGGAGTTCAAGGAGAAGGGAAGGAAAAAGGCTTAGTAACGTATTTCATGAAATAGGTGAAAACTTTCCAAGACTGGGGAGAGGCATGGACATCTAAAACTAGGAACTTCAAACTTTCCCAAATAGAGTCAACCTAGAAAAGTCTTCCCCAAGGCACATTGTAGTCAAACTGTCAAAAGTCAAATACAAAGCAAATTCTAAAAACAGCAAGAGAAAAGCTTAAAGTCACATATAAGATCCCCATTAGACTAACAGTAGATTTCTCTGCAGAAACCTTACAGGCCAGGAGAGAAGAAGATGATACATATTCAAAGTGTTGGGAAAAAAAAAAAGACTGCCAGCCAACTATACTATATCCGGCAAAGCTATCCTTCAGAAATGAAGGAGAAACAAATTATTTCCCAGAAAAGCAAAAACTGAGAGAATTCATCACTACTAGACCAGCCTTACAAGAAATGCTTCAGAAAGTCCTACACCTGGAAGTGAAGACAATAATCACTATCATGAAAACATGTAAAACCATACGAGAAATCCACTTAACCTGTAAAGACATACATAGACTGAAAACGAAGAAGAGATGCAAAAAGATACTCTACAGGAAAGCAAAGGCAAGTAGGAGTAGCTATACTTGTATCAGATAAAGCAGATTGTAAGTCAAAAACAGTCAAAGAGACAAGAAGGTCATTATATAATAATAAAGGAGTCAATAATACTTGGGGACATCAACACCCGACTCTCAGCTTTAGACAGATCCTAGGCAAAGAAGAATCAACTAATACTGGATGTAAAGTGCACTGTAGGCCAAGCATGGTGGCTCACGCCTGTAATCCTAGCACTTTGGGAGTTCGAGGCAGGTGGATCACTTGAGATCAGAAGTTCAGGACCAGCCTGGCCCACATGGTGAAACCCCATCTCTACTAAAAATACAAATAAATTAGCCGAGTGTGGTGGCATGCACCTGTAATCTCACCTACTCTATAGGCTGAGGAAGGAGAATCACTTGAACCCGGGAGGCGGAGGCTGCAGTGAGCTGAGATCATGCCACTGCACTCCAGCCTGGGTGACAGAGCAAGACTCTGTCTCAAAAATAAACAAACAGGGCCGGGCGCGGTGGCTCAAGCCTGTAATCCCAGCACTTTGGGAGGCCGAGGCGAGTGGATCACGAGGTTGAGAGATCAAGACCATCCTGGTCAACATGGTGAAACCCCGTCTCTACTAAAAACACAAAAAAGTAGCTAGGCATGGTGGCGCTTGCCTGTAATCCCACTAGTCAGGAGGCTGAGGCAGGAGAATTGCTTGAACCCAGGAGGCGGAGGTTGCGGTGAGCCGAGATCGCGCCATTGCACTCTAGCCTGGGTAACAAGAGTGAAACTCCGTCTCAAAAAAAAAAATAAAAAATAAAAAATAAAAAAAATTAACAAACAAATAAATAAAGTGCACTGTAGACCAAACATCTATAGAACATGTCATCCAACTGCTGCATAATACACATTCTTCTTAGTCCATGGAACATTCTCCAGGATAGACCATATGTTAGGCCACAAAACAAATCTCATCAATTTTTAAAACATAAAATCATTTCAAGTATCTTTTCAGATTACAATGGAATAAAACTAGAAATCAATAACAAGAGAAACTTTCAAAACTGTAAAGAAAAAGGTGGGGGGAGAATTATACACACGTCCCAGAATGACCAATGGGATAATGAAGAAATTAAGAAGAGACAAGTGACGCTGACATTGCTGGTCCAGGACAATTTGAAAGCCACTCCACCAGTGCACACCTCTAAAAGCATTTATCATGAAGGTGCCTATTGAAAAGATTTGTAGAATGCAATTAGTTTGAAAAATCATGTCCAACAATCACTGCCCGCCTCTTGGAGAAAGCTAGCAGACACTTATCATTTACAGATCCAGGAAGCCCCACATTGCAAAAAACTTCTTCATGCAGTCATTCGCTTCCCAAGCTTATTTAATCACAGAACCTGATTTACGAAGTAGCACCTGTGAGCACCCTTCTCGAACAGCTCTCTCACAAGTAATCACATTTCCCAGAAGTCCAACCATCAAATACAGGTTTCCCCACACTCAAGAACAAAGTAGGAATCCAGAAGCCTATGTTTTTACTTTAGTTTGCCACTAACTAGGTTTTTACTATGTCACATCACTAAACCACTGAGGATCCTGTCTCAACTATAAAATACAATTGTGGACTAAATATTCCTAAAATCCCTTCTTATAAACTTTGGCTGTCTGAGATGAGAATTCAAAATTGGTAGGTAAGAAATATTCAAAATATTAACATGATTTACCTGATCGTCTTCAGGAAGTTCAGCTATTCTCTTCACATCACATTTGTTGGCTACAACTATAAGAGGCTAGGCAAGGAAGAAAAATAATGAAATCATTATTCTCATACTGCAGGATATGAAGGAAAACATGAGTGACCACACTCACCTTGTTGATGAAGAGAGGTCTGATGTTCTGGAAGAGTTCCAGCTGCTCCCTCAGCCCGTGCCCACACTGCTCGGACACGTCCATCACGTACAGCACGGCAGCACGGAGGTGGGCCAGGGCGGTGATGGCCTGCATCTCGATCGTGTTCCTGTCCTCCAGAGGGTGGTCCAGGATCCCAGGAGTGTCTACAACCTAACACGGCCAGACCATGTCACTGAGAGCACACTCACCCACGAGCTTCTTGCCCAGCACATCCCAGAAGTCACTCACACACCCAACCAGGCCTAATAATCTTAACGGGAGAATTTATTCAAAAAAAAAAAGTAGTCTCCCAAACTGAACATGATAAAATAAACAAAGCAGTGAGAGAAGAGTATACACTATTTAAACATCAAAAAAGGGGGAGGAACCTTGTGGAGCTCAATGACATGCTAGCCACACCCTTTCAAGAAATGACTTCCCTTTTTACCAGTGACATCATAAAATACAAAAACTGGGATAACTCAGAACCCTCCCATGTCTTAGGTATTACTTTCTTCACGATTTAAAAAATTACGGTGTGGAAACATTGCTTTGTGCTTCTTACTATTTTTTTTTTGAGACAGAGTTTCGTTCCTATCTCCCGGGCTGGAGGTCAATGCTGCAATCTTGGCTCACTGCAACCTCCACCTCCCGGGTTCAAGCGATTCTTCTGCCTCAGCCTCCCGAGTAGCTACAACTACAAGCACTCGCCACCACACCTGGGTAATGTATTTTTAGTAGAGACAGGGTTTCACTATGTTGGCCAGGCTGGTTTCAAACTACTGACCTCAGGAGATCCACCTGCCTCAGCCTCCCAAAGTGCTGGGATTACAGGTGTGAGCCACTGCCCCACCTGCTTCATGCTTTTAAACTGTATACATGCCATTTCTAATAACAGAGTTAGAAATGACACAAAGAGAATTTCATTTTACGTTAACAAAATGCAGAAATCCACACTGGCGGCTGGCTGCTTCCCCTGAATTATTTCAGAGACATGTGATCTATTCTTATGCATCCCCAGAGCTCAGATGAGTTTTCTTTACCATGATGGAGAAATTTCAAGTTCTTGATAACCCTAGATAAACCAAGATATTTGTTCTGTTTAAAGACAAGAATCTCGTCAGGCAAGGTGGCTCACACCTGTAATCCTAGCACTTTGGGAGGCTGAGGTGGGTGGATCACTTGAGATCAGAAGTTCAAGATGGGCCTGGCCAACATGGTGAAACACTTTCTCTACTAAAGAAAATATAAAAATTAGCCCAGCATAGTGGTGCGCGCCTGTAATCCCTGCTACTTGGGTGGCTGAGGCAGGAGAATTGCTTGAACCCAGGAGGCAGAGGTTGCAGTGAGCTGAGATTGTGCTACTTTGCTTCAGCCTGGGCAACAAGAGTGAGACTTCATCTCAAAAGAAATAAAATAAAAGTTAAGACTCTCACCTGCCAACGTAGATACTTATAATCCATATGCCCAACAAACAGAGACTTGGTTGTGAACGCATAGGGCTGGACATCCACATCTGCTCTTGTCACCTGAAACAACAGTGAGAACTTTCAGGATCACCTCACTTCCTCTCTCTGTAAACATGGCATCTCTGTGTTAACAAGACTAATTGTTAGGAAAAAACCAGAGAAGAACCACCTAGAGAACTAGTTACAATTCAAATTCTGTTTCAGTTGATGTGGCTGAGGCCTAAAATAAAAAAATAGAAAGGAAAAAAACGCAGAAGAAACCTCACATGATACAATTGCATCAGAACAGGAGTTACCAACTTTGATAAATGGCCTGGTACCTCTCCCTTCACACCACCAGGCCAAGGACTGGGGCATGAGGACAGCATGAGGGCTGGCATTCGGAGGCCAGCCACCGCCTCCCTCACCCTCCCATGTCCTGCTCCACCACCTTCAATGCCCACAGAGTTCTCAGTGATGACAGATGTTCTGTCTGTGCTGACAAACAGGGCCCCCCCATCACATGCTGCCCGCAAACTTTCAGTATGTAGCTCATGTGACTGAGGAGTTGAAATTTTCATTTTGCTGAATTAAACTACAATTTAACAAGCCACCTGGACCAGTGGCCACCACATCAGCCCCACAGCACTGGTTCACTGTGGCAGGTTCAGGGCTGACAAGCATTGGAAACATCAGGAGAAGAACATCAAAGGAGAGCTTTGCTTGTCACCACGTCATAGCAACCTGTGGACAAAATAAACTTACAAATCTATTTCAAAGTAAAAGTGACCCTGAGGCTGGGTGTGGTGGTCCATGCTTATAATCCCAGCACTTTGGGAGGCTGAGGCACGGATGGCTTGAGCTCAGGAGTTTGAGATCAGCCCGGGGAATATAGTAACACTCTGCCTCCACAAAAAAATTAAAAAATTAGACAGGTGTGGTGACATGCACCTGTGGTCCCAGCTAGATGGGTAGCTGGGGTGGGAGGATTGTTTGGGCCCAGGAGGTTGAGGCTGCAGTGAGCCATGACTGCACCACTGCACTTCAGCCTGGGAAAGAGAGCAAGACCCCATCTCAAAAAGAGGAAAAAAGAAAAAATTTAAACAAAAGGAAAGACAAAAATGTTTTTAAATTAAAAATATAGTGATCTTGGCACAGAGTAAGCCATAAAATTTGACAATTTTCTTGGCACATGAGCTGTGGCTGGTTGTAAATTCACATTTTAAAGTTGCTTTGCCTCTTCCTGGGTCCCTCAAACTCAGCCAAATTTTCCTGAAGCACTAAATGACTGAGTCCCTTAAATGTGACACTTGAATCCTGGTCAGTGAGATACACCCAAGGGAAAAGAGACATGGCACCTTGCCCCTCTGCTGGACCACATACTATTTCATGTGAAAGCTGACACAGAAACCAAGGTGTGTCAAGGCCACCCAGAGGCAGCTGCAGATGGGCAGACCCCAGCTCGGTGAGTGTCACCTGCCACTGGAGCCCATCTGGCATCGCCATTCCAGGGCAGGTCAACAACACCCACGAAAACTCTCCAGTTGTCAACAAAAATGCACTTACCCATCTCAAATTCCTTAGAAATTATAGAACACACAAGAACCAAAAGTAATGGTTTCTGTAATAGTAATATCAAACTAGACACAGGCGAAGTCCATCCTCTCCAAGAGGAACTCAGATGTACTTAGGCACTGGGGCCTCCTGCAGACCAGGGCAGTATTTACGAAAGGACCAACTGGGAGGCAAAAATTATGACCGAGGCCACTGTGAATCCCACGCAGCCAGGATACAGTAACAATGACGTAAAACGGCCAAAGGATTTGCTTTACAATAAAAACAAGACCAACCTTATTGATGAAGCTGGACTTGCCAACATTTGGGTACCCACACAGAAGCAGAGTCCTGGTATTTGGATCAATGGTTGGTAAACGGGATAAATGCTGACGCACTATGAAAAGTTCAGATAGAAAAATTAAGACACTCAAAGTTTAAGATTTGCTTCAAATTTTCTTTTCAACTTAGTTACAGTCCAGGCCTGTGGTGATATTAATCTTACCCCAATTTTTATAATGCAACAGTGATGGAGAAAATAGCTGCAGAGAGTATAGCATATACACAGTACATTCAACAGTTATTTCCCAAGTTTGGCTGTACTAAGAATCCTAGTTCGCAGCCCTTCCAAGCCCATATTTTAACTTATTAGGTGAAAGGTAGGGCCAATGGCATGTCTGGAAGTGTCCAGATGACATTAGGGAAACAGGGTACTTTGAAGCCTGCATGCCATGACGTTCTGGCTGAAACATGGGTTACTGCCATTCAGCCCCCTCAGCTGCAACAAACATGGCTCCAAGGTGGCACCCTGGGCCATCATGAAGGCCACAGAGATCTGTGGGAAAGCACCTACAAAGCATCCAAGTATCATACATTTTGTTAAAAATTACTTGCAAGATGCAGGAGGGAGAACAAAACCAAATGAGGCCAAATAATTTGTCATGTAAGAATACACACAAATAAATAGGCAAGTAATTGTTTCAATAGAATCCTACTATAGTAATTCAGAAAGTCCTACTGAATAAAAGTATTTTTTAAAATAAAAATGTGAACAATAAACTACAAGCCACCTTATTTTTGCTTATTTTTTGTCTATATCTTATCTATTAAATATGAAGTATATAAACTTTCTTTGTTTTTTTTTTTGTTTTTTTTTTTTTTGAGACAGAGTTTCGCTCTTGTTACCCAGGCTGGAGTGCAATGGCGCGATCTCAGCTCACCGCAACCTCCGCCTCCTGGGCTCAGGCAATTCTCCTGCCTCAGCCTCCTAAGTAGCTGGGATTACAGGCACGCGCCACCATGCCCAGCTAGTTTTTTTTTGTATTTTTTTTAGTAGAGATGGGGTTTCACTATGTTGACCAGGATGGTCTCGATCTCTCGACCTCGTGATCCACCCGCCTCGGCCTCCCAAAGTGCTGGGATTACAGGCTTGAGCCACCGCGCCCGGCTAAGTATATAAACTTTCTTATCGGCACTATTAATTTGTACGTATTTTAAGTGCTAGCACTTTTTCTTTTTTTTTTTTTTTTTGAGACGGAGTTTCGCTCTTGTTATCCAGGCTGGAGTGCAATGGCGCGATCTCGGCTCACCGCAACCTCCGCCTCCTGGGTTCAGGCAATTCTCCTGCCTCAGCCTCCTGAGTAGCTGGGATTACAGGCACGTGCCACCATGCCCAGCTAATTTTTTGTATTTTTAGTAGAGATGGGGTTTCACTTTGTTGACCAGGATGGTCTCGATCTCTTGACCTTGTGATCCACCCGCCTCGGCCTCCCAAAGTGCTGAGATTACAGGCTTGAGCCACCGCGCCCGGCAGCTAGCACTTTTTCAATAAAAACCAGCCTATCACTGTTTCTCACAGGTAAAGCTAGGAAAAATAACTGACCCTGTCATCTCCAAACTATGACAAAACAAACATCTCAAGAGTAAGTCCTCAACAAGGACGCATCCTGTCAGCAGGATGCCAACACGGTTCCCGCGGATGCGCGACAAGCACCTTGCTCCAGATACTCCAAACTCTGCTTCTGCCTCTTGATCACGGTGCACATCCGCCCCAGGGCCGCACGCTTCAGCTGCTTGCAGCGGTAGAGAGAGTCGCCATACTTCATCAACCGCACATAATCTTTAGCAACACTTAAAAAAGTCAAAAATGTTAGGTTTCTTTTCACTTTTGATAATAACTTAAAAGACACCACAGTAAAAAAAGTACCTTACTTGTCCACTAAATTTTTGGCAATATTTATTTGCCCCAGAGCCAACTTGTAGTGATCTTTGTCGTACAGAATATTCATCAAATCAGCGTAGAACGGATGAATGTCCTGTAACAAACACACAAAAGCACACCATGGTCACTTTGAGCCAGCAGTTTCTCATCCCTCACAGAAGGAACACTTGAAGAACAATTTCCTGCCCTCTCTCTTCAAGCCTGCCATGTCTCTTGCCCAGTTCTCTCTCCAGCCCAGGGGCTCTGTCTATTTAGCCCTCGGGGAAAACAAGCATCAGAAGGGATACAGGCGCAGTGGTGGCTGCTGCCACCCACCTCCCTCCCCGTATGGCGGTGCAGCTGTGGGACCCAGCATGACCAGCCCACCCTGCAGGCACCCTTCCTGCTGCTCAGGAACTCTGCACCAGAAATCCTTCCCTCCGCCTGACTATTCCCATCAGCCTAAAAATCTGCCGTGATTTCCCAAACTTTAGGAAAAAAAATTTAAACTCCCGTGACCCCCAAATCCTTCTAATTCCTTCTCTTTGTTCCCAAGAGGCACTGTCTCTCTCCTCTCCTATCTTGAAGCCACTCTCACCAGAATTCTGTGTCCACCACTCCATCTAAACAGCCTGCAAACTCACAAGGACCTCCCAACGACCAACTCTCACATCGTATCTCACAGACCTCTTGAAGCGATGGGGGCTGGCCCCACATCCTGCCTGCATCATCTTCCTCACAGCTTCCAGGGAGACCGTCTGCCCTCTCTGAGTCCTGTGCTGGCTCCTGCTCACAGCTCCACCCGAACATCCATGCTCCCCACAGAACCCTTCTTCTCAGAGATTTAAATGTCACCTGTTTTACTAGTGCACTTTACGTCACCAGGCCAGCAGCGTCTGGTATCTTACCAGCGCATATAAACTCAACCCGTGACTACCATCTCCTCCAATCCCATCTCCCCCTGTTCTCCACCTCCTCTGCCCTCCAGGGTCTGCGGGACCTCAGACCCCTGCACCTGCGGCTGCTTTGACTACAGGCCTGATTCCCTCTCCCGGAGCAGATATTCCCCACGCCCCTTCCAGGGCTTCCCTGCATCCATCCGACACGCTATGTATTTTCATGTTCACCATCTTTCCCCCAACAGAATGAGAATAGGAGCCTTTACCACTTTTTTATTCCAAGTGCTCAGAACATACCAGACAGACAATAAGCATTCAATGAATGACAAGTTAATCTAACTCTCCACCCTGAAACTGTCCTCAGATAACTAGTACTGGCTTTAAAAGAGATAATAGATAATACATCTGAACTCTCCTACCTCTGATATAAATACTGAGGATAAAAACGATAAAACTTCTAAAACTTCTTGAAAAGAACCACGAACATCTGATACTAAGTAGATCAAAGTGTTTCCCAATACCAAATCAGTTTAGAATCATCTCTTTCTTAATCACTGTCTTTACCCCCAGGTACTCTCTACCTTTCCCAAGAAACCATCCAATCATTCAAGAAGCATCTACTGAACAACTGCGTCAAACCCTGGATAGATACAACCTCAGTGTCTGTCTTCTACCAGGAATTTTTGTCTTTTATTTTAAGCACTTCCGTCTTTTAGTAAGCCATTATTACTTGTTTTATTTAAACAAGTACTGTCACAGTACTTGTTTTTTTATATAAAAAAAGTACTGTCACAGAAGACAAGTGTTTCTCTCTGCCTACATCTACCTTCAGGGACTATTCCGGGGCAATGGTAGATTTAGGCTGTCAGACTGTAGTGCTGATCCCCACACCCTTCACAACCTCAAGTAACCCTCCAACCGCACTGCTCTATACGTGGTGTCAAGGCTTTGTCAGCAGTGCCTGCCAAGCAGTTTCTGCTCTTGCTTTTCTATAGCTAAACAGGCAGGCTGGGTATGGTGGCTCATGCCTGTAATCCCAGCACTTTAAGATGCAGATACAGGAGGATCACCTGAAGTCAGGAGTTTAAGACCAGCCTGGCCATCACAGTGAAACCCCGTCTCTATTAAAATTACCAAAAATTAGGCAGGCATGGTGGTGTGCACCTATAAACCCAGCTACACAGGAGGCGGAGGCACACAAATCACCTGAACCCAGGAGGTGGAGGTTGCAGCGAGCCGACACCACGTCACTACACTCCAGCCTGGGCAACAAAGTGAGGCTCAGTCTCAAAGAAAAAAAAAACAAAACAGGCAAACTGCAATGTGTGGCAGAGAAGGGAGCTCAAGGTTTCTGGCTTAATGAAAAAGGCACAGCTCCCCACGTGATCTCATCTTGCCACAGAAGAAAACAGAGAGTACTGAACTGACTGTCATCTGCGAATGAAGCAATGAGCTCACAGTGGTGGACTTTACGCCGCTGACCCAAGCTGAGTCCAGAGGGAAAAAAACCCTTGAAAAGAGGGTGGAGGGCCCGGCGCGGTGGCTCAAGCCTGTAATCCCAGCACTTTGGGAGGCTGAGGCGGGTGGATCACGAGGTCAAGAGATCGAGACCATCCTGGTCAACATGGTGAAACCCCGTCTCTACTAAAAATACAAAAAATTAGCTGGGCATGGTGGTGCGTGCCTGTAATCCCAGCTACTCAGGAGGCTGAGGCAGGAGAATTGCCTGAACCCAGGAGGCGGAGGTTGCGGTGAGCCGAGATCGCGCCATTGCACTCCAGCCTGGGTAACAAGAGCGAAACTCCATCTCAAAAAAAAAAAAAAAAACAAAAAAAAGAGGGTGGAGGAGACACACCAGTGAGCTGTCAGCTTCTGCGTTCCTAACCCACAGCTACCATTACCATTTGGGTTCGCCCCTGCAAGCCCAGGGATTACACAGAAAGCCTTAGAAGCAGCTTTGGGCCTCCTTAGACAGGGCTTGGTTGGAGGAAAGAGAGAATATTAGAGAATCAAAAAATCCATATTCTGTTCCCACTTTTATTAATTCAACAAGATAGTTCTTTGCCACTAATTTACTGAGCAGTCTAAGTCAATTATCTTGTCTCCCTTTCTGTCAAATGAGTACACAAAACTGGTGAAACACTGGTTCTCCGAAGGCTCATATTTACATAAACATAGAAGTCCCCAAGTCACTTACATCCAACTTAGGGAAATCTGTTAGAATTTGTGAAAGTCTATCATGATAATTCTGTTGAGTAAATTTGACTTTTCTCATGTAAAAATGTCTAATGCGATGAATTTGGTAATGTTTATGAATAACGGTCGGAGTCTTTCGTTGAGTCTTCGACAACGTCAGGTCAATAAAGTCCTGCAATTAAAGAAAATAAGATGTAATTATATCAAAGGTGTCTACTTCTGATCCATTTATTTGAAACCATCTTAAAACACTAACATCTTACAGTACTATGTATTTTAAATTACAAAACTTTTAACTAAATGCTTTATATACAACCTTGTTCATCTTAATAGTTTGTAGCCTTTAAGAAACACATGGCTGCTAAGATAAATTTTACCCCATACTTTCTCGATACTATCTTAATTTCCAAATAGCTAAGAACCTTTGAAGCTTAAGTAGTCAGAGAACTCAACCATAAACTGGAAAAAACAGTTGAGAAGAAACAATCCTCCCATTTCTTTATACATATCTTTGGCTTTGAAAATACATAAAGTAGCCAGGCGCGGTGGCTCAAGCCTGTAATCCCAGCACTTTGGGAGGCCGAGGCGGGTGGATCACGAGGTCGAGAGATCGAGACCATCCTGGTCAACATGGTGAAACCCCGTCTCTACTAAAAATACAAAAAAAATTAGCTGGGCATGGTGGCGCGTGCCTGTAATCCCAGCTACTCAGGAGGCTGAGGCAGGAGAATTGCCCGAACCCAGGAGGCGGAGGTTGCGGTGAGCCGAGATCGCGCCATTGCACTCCAGCCTGGGTAACAAGAGTGAAACTCTGTCTCAAAAAAAAAAAAAAAAAGAAAATATATAAAGTAACAGGTAAAACTAAAACCTACTGTTTAGAATTTCTTAAGAGCATGGAAGGGGAATATTTGAGGAGATGAAGGATTTCTGCATGAGTTTCCCAGTGCAAAGAGTCAGCACTTCTCCTTAATGAGGATCCGATCCCAAGGATTTCTCAATCCGATGTATCTAGCCACTATCTAGGCACACAAAATTATTTGATCTTTTTTCTTGAACACTTTGATTAATTCAACAATTTGATTAACTCAATATTATTTCATACAAAGGTTGTTAGGGATACTCAGGTGCTGAACATAATGAACAAGATACTGTCCCTTCAAGGAAATCAGGGTCCAGTGACAGAAGTAAACAGGTGGCTACAATCATCTGCCAAGTATCCTACTACGAGGGGCATGCACATCCTCCCCTCTGGGCCTACACAAGATCTCCCCTACATTATTCTTCACCTAATGGTGTTCACACATCCTGAAGGAGGCCCAGTTCAAATGTTACCTACTTCATGAGGCTGCCCCTGACTCTACTACTAACCACAGCTACTTACACTCTTATCCTCTCCCAATCCATGTATGTCTTCCATGATAACCATGTTTTATTTCTATTATGGTCAAAAGTGATTCTGCTTACCCCTCTTGAAAGTGACTTCCAAAGAGGCAGGTATTCCATGCATTTTTGTAACACAGTACCTGATGCACAGGACAGGCGTTCACTTAACAGCTTCTAGAAGGAACTGAATCCCACTTTCCTGATGTGATTTTTTTTTTAACTTCGTTACCAAACAATTACCATCACCCTTTTCAGACAGGTAAAGTCATCTGTTCTCTAAAAACACAAATCTCTCCACAAAACAGAAAACGGGTGGTGTACTAACATATTCCAAAGTTCTCCATATAAGTCGATTACATTACCAAAGTTCACATAATCCAAAAAGCAAATTCCATCAACAAACTTGAGAGATGGTTGATCAAAAATACAAATAAGATATGATTCCTGCACTCGAAAATACTACAGTCTGGCTCGGAGTGGTGGCTCACGCCTGTAATCCCAGCACTTTGGGAGGCTGAGGCAAGTGGATCACTTGAGATCAGGAGTTCAAGACCAGCCTAGCCAACACGGTGAAACTCCGTCTCTACTGATAACACAAAAATTAGCCAGACCTGGTGGCGTGCGCCTGTAATCCCAGGTACTTGGGAGGCGGAGGCAGGAGAGTCACTTCGAACCTCGGAGGCAGAGCTGCAGTGAGCCGAGATCTGGCCATTGCACTCCACCCTGGGCAACAAGAGCGAAAAGCTCAGTCTCAAAAAAAAAAAAAAAAAAGTACTGGCCAGGCGTGGTGGCTCAGACCTGTAATCCAAGCACTTTGGAGGCCAAGGCGGGCGGATCACCTGAGGTCGGGTGTTCAAAACCAGCCTAACCAACATGGTGAAACCCCATCTTTAAAAAAATAAAAATAAAAATAATAAAAAATAAAATATTAAGTCCCAATGCTCAACACTTTTTGACTCATTCTTGCCACACCAACCAACGCTGTACAAATTTAGTCTGGGCCTGCTATAGTCCGAAAAAGAACTGGGATTCCCAAATCCAACAGTGAAAGAGAATGACTTAAAAATTAAGAAATGTTAAATCACGAGAGCAACGAACCGAGGCTTCCAGAGAGGGGAGGGCGCTACGCCAAACCCAGGACCCGAAGGCGCATCACTAACCACCGAGGGCTTCTCCCTGACATGTCGGGGTCCCCCTCCACTCGCCCACCTCGTCATCTTTGGGGCCCCCCCAGAGAACCCTTCCGTAGGCGGACCTCCACCTCTGGGGGCCCTCAGGCTTTGGGTGGACCCTGGTCTCCTCTGGCGGATCCCGGATTCGTTAGGAGGAGGGGAAATGATCACGAGTACGCGACCAGGAGGTCGGGCCCGGGAGCGCTCTCCCACGGCTACAGGCCCGGACACTCGCCGGAGACCCCGCTAAGGACCTGGCGAAAGTCGGGGTGACCCTCCCGCAGCCGCCTACCTTGGCGGACGGCACCACCGTAATTTTCTTGAAGTTGTAGTGCGCCATGCCGGCAGCCGTCAGCACGCGGGGACTGGGCACTCCCGGAACTTCCGCCGTCGGGCGCAGGCGGGACTTCCGCCGTCGGGCGCAGGCGGTGCGTCACTTCCGGGAGCTCAGCCAAACGTGTCCTGCGTCGCCAGTGGCGCTTTCCGCGTGGCACAGCGCACCCACCCGGCCTGGAGGTCAGCCGCGGAGGGCGTGTGGGGGGCCCCGGGAGTGAGGGCGGCGGGGAGAGGGCGCCCGGATTTTAGGGGGCGCGGAGAATGAATTCCTGGTGGGTAAAGCGGGGACTCCCGACAGACTGCCTTGCGGGTTTTTGGACTCGGGTTCAGGCCCGCAGCCACCGCCCTGGGCCATGATTGGGCAGTCCGGGGTCTTGGGAATTGGGGGATGCATGGGGGTTTAGGGGTTCAGAGGCTCGGGTCCAGGAGTCTAGGGGTCCCGGGTCGCGGCGAGACACGCAGAGGAGGAGGGAAGCGCGCGTGCGGGGCGTGCCCTGGCTCTGGGTGTGGAGCAGGTGGCGCGTCCTCTCCCCGACCCCGACCTCGCGCGCGCGGTGTTGAGGAGGCCCTTGGGGCTCCCTGCAGCCCTTTCTCGTGCCCTTGGGGCTCCCCGCAGCCCTTTCTCGTGCCCTCGGGGCTCCCTGCAGCCCTTTCTCGTGCTCTTGGGGCTCCCCGCAGTCCTTTCTCGTGCTTGTTAAATTCCAAAACGGGCAGAGAAGGTACAGCCTGATCTAAGGCAGAAGAGGGGGAGCTGGAGAGCCGGGGAGCAGCGGGGAGACAGTTCTGTGGGGTCCAGCTGAGGAGGTCGGTGAGGACAGAGCCTTTGTGCGCTTAGTGCGTTCCTGTTTGTGCATAGTGCGGCCACTCCCTTAGGGAACCCAGGGCCACATCCCGTAAGTTAAATCTCAGGTAGGGCTGACTCAGTCAGGCACTGTTAAGAGCTGCTGACTACCTATTAACTCATTTAATTCCTGCAAGAGCCTCATGAAGTGCGTGGGGAAACCAAGGCACAGCAAGGCTCCAAAGCAGCCCATGGTGGTGCAGCTAGCAGGCAGCAGAGGTGAACTTTGAACCCAGGAGCCTGGCTCCAGCAAACCTGCTTCTGATCACTAGCTGTACTGCTTCTCACGCATCTGGGATGCCCCCAACTCTCCAATCCTTTTAAACAAGTCCTGTTATTCTTAATACCTCCCATAGATTCCCAACGTTCTAATAATGAAAAGCATTCTGAGTCATGCATTTCTCATCCATTATATTAACTATGCTTCCATTTTTGTGTCACAAGCAATGCAGATAAGCATACCTCCTACAGCTTTGTGGCACTTCTAAAGGAAGCTTCTAGGGTAATTAGGATTAGCTGGCTATCATCATTTGCTAAACCGCAGACAATTCTGGCCACCATTTCCAAGATGAGCAAAGCTATGCTGGTATTTACTGTCCTTTTTTTTTAGAATCTCTTGTTTCCTCAACCTCTCCCACTTTCTCTCACTCTGACATGCCCAGTTCCTCTTTCTTTTTCTTTTAATCTGGTATTTACATAAGTCCAGTCAATACTTTGCTTGAGATGGGCAAACATCCTTTCTTTAATTCTTTTCTTTTCTTTTTTTTTTTTTTTTTTTTGAGACGGAGTTTCGCTCTTGTTACCCAGGCTGGAGTGCAATGGCGCGATCTCGGCTCACCGCAACCTCCGCCTCCTGGGTTCAGGCAATTCTCCTGCCTCAGCCTCCTGAGTAGCTGGGATTACAGGCACGTGTCACCATGCCCAGCTAATTTTTTGTATTTTTAGTAGAGACGGGGTTTCACCATGTTGACCAGGTTGGTCTTGATCTCTTGACCTCGTGATCCACCCGCCTCAGCCTCCCAAAGTGCTGGGATTACAGGCTTGAGCCATCGCGCCCGGCTAATATTTTGTATTTTTAGTGGAGATGGAGTTTCACCATATTAGCCAGGCCGGTCTTGAACCCTGACCTAAGTGATCCACCCGCCTTGGCCTCCCAGAGTACTGGGATTACAGGCATGAGCCACCTGCTTTTAACTTGTTCAGCCACAAAGGCATGTCTGTGAATGCACAACCATAATGACTCATCATGGGCCCAGAGCTGTAACAACAATGGTGAAGTACCAAGCATCCTACACTATGTTTGTGTGTTGATGAAAATCAGCATCCTTGCCTGTTGTTGTGATTTTCTGGCTGAGTGTAGCTTCTTGGGGACAGGTGTGTGTTCTACACCACTAGGAGCAAGCTTCTCTGTGAAAACACTTCCGGGCTTCTCTGGGGAATCAAAACTGTAAAGCCCATTTCTGAGGATAGTCAGAAACACTGCCTGCAGCATGAAGCACATTGCCAGTTCTTGACTGTGTTAATGGAGGTATCCAGCTACCAAATGCCTTAGAGTGTGTACCTTGTGACAGGGAAAGGTATGTCTAAGCTGTAGTGAAGGATGCTCTCAAGGGCACTCTGCAAAACTTCTTACTGCAAGCATTTCTTAGTAAAACACTTTGTTTTTCAGACTTCTTTATTTTGTGAGCTCGATCTTTTTTGATCTTTTCTATCTTCGCGTTGCTGTAATTCTTATGGATGAAAGGTACATCTGGCAGAACTGAACTTCCTGCCTGAAAGGAGACTTTGCAGGGGGATTAGCCATCAGTGGCCATCCAGTCTTAGAGGGTGCTTGGAGTGTTCATCAGGCCCGTTGGCCACTTCCCTGGATCCCCACATGAATTCACTCGGAACGAGTCACATGCTGCTTTGTACCTAGATGCTTCCTTGTGTACATTTTATTTTCAAAAGAAGTAGGCAGCCCATTGTGGACAGGAACTATGTCTTACTCTTTTGCCATCCCTCTCCTCGGGCAGCACTGCCAAGAGCATTTGCAGTGACCGTGGAACTCTGGATTGAACGTCAGCTTGAGTAAGTTCCTGATACAGTTGGGGCTGTAGCAGTTGGAATCTGGCTTCTGCAATACTCAAGTAGTCCTAGTGAATTACACTACTGTCGAATCCCCTGTGTACAACTCTGAAATGGGTCAGAACTACACAGTGTGCCATAAAGAGGAAAGCTGTTCCAGACCTCCAGCTTCTTGACAGCCAGGGCCTTTTCCAGGGCAGGTTCCTCCAGCCTGAGGCACTTGGACTCTGATCCCCTGGAATGATGAGAGATGCTGAGGGCCTCAGATTCTGAGGCTGTGGATTCTGTGAGGGCAGACGCCTCAGAGGAGCCAGCAGCCAGCAAACCAGCTGCCAGTCTGGCATATTTCATGACGAAGTAAAGCTGCAGCCGAGGAGCCCTTGGAGCAGGCAGGGTGACACCTCATGAACCTACCAGGCTTGCACACCTCCATAGCCAATTTCTGCCTGAACCACCGCCTCCTGGCACTAATGGAGAGTGCTTCCATTGCAGGGCAAGGGGGAGTACATGGAGTTCACACGACATAGGTCTGTGTGTGTGTTTCTTCCAGTTGTTGAAATGATTGGTTATAAATAGAATTCACTGAAGGATGAAGAGGTGAAAGGTTTACTTATTGGTTTTCCTTTAATATGACACTGGAAACTCAAGAGAAGGGGAATTTCACCTTCACTTAGTAAGTGAATTTTCTCTAACCACTGGATTTATACAGTGTCTGTCAACCCAATCCTGTGAGTCTTGTGGAGTCTTAAAAGTGGCTAGGGGACAGATGTTATTTTAACTTCATAGAGGTATGAATTCAACAGGGAAGTCTAAGGAAACACCCTCCTTTGTGGAAGGCAACAATGGCATGGGAGCCACCCTCTGGGGCAAAGGTGCAGCCTGACATTCCCTGCAGAATTACACAATGAGTTAAAAGTGTGAGCTTCATGTCTAAGATATAGCTCCACCCCATGTGATCCTGGGAAAATTTCTCAACTTCATCAAGCCTCTGTTTCTTCACCTTTAGATTGAAGGTAATAATAATGCGTGTGGAATAGGGTTAGTGAAATAAAGTACTTTTAACATGCCTCTCACATAGTAAGTGAGCAAAGAGATTCTGTACTGTTATGCATTATGTATTATTTATGTTCTTAGCTGCTTAGTTACATAATATTTGCTAAACTTTGTTCTATTCATTAAATTCTCATTGAACCTTAACAACTGCAAAGCAGGGAGCCTCCACCACATGCCAGGTAACTTGTTTTCCTTCTCAGGACAGCATAATGAGGTGGGCGTGGTTGTCTCTGTTTCGCAGAGAGGAGTGCTTGCTCACAGTCACACAGCTGGAGGGACACCACTGGAGGTGGTTCCAGGGCCCATGGAAGTCCAAAGCCACTCTCCTTTTGCACTGCCGTCTAAGAGTGGCTTTGTTCTTGACCTCTTTAGAGTTATTACCTTGTTTGGTATTTATTTATTTGTTTATTTATGAGACAAGGTCTCACTCTCTTGCTCAGGCTGGAGTGCAGTGGTGTGATCTTGGCTCACTGCAACCTCCATCTCTCAGGTTTAAGCAGTTCTTGTGCCTCAGCCTCCCATGTAGCTGAGACTACAGGTGCGCACCACAACACCAGGCTAATTTTTGTATTTTTTAGTAGAGGTGAGATTTTGCCATGTTGTCCAAGCTGGTCATGAAATGTTTGGTATTTAAATGGAGGTACATGATAGATCACACTTGGAATCATCGGCTGTAAATAATCCCCCAGCATCAGTGTTTCATTAAAGCACTGTTTGCATATGCAGACAGGTTGTGTTTCTTCTGCGAGAATTCCATGTTCCTGTGCTTGGATCATGACAAGCAGGTGGCTTCACTGCTACCTGTGCCAATGAACTTCTGCCCTTGCTCACGTCCGAGCTTCTGATAAGGGGTGTTTTCATGGGTTGATTATGAATTACTTCATTGACACACAGTTAAAAACATTCTTTGCGGCCGGGCACGGTGGCTCAAGCCTGTAATCCCAGCACTTTGGGAGGCCGAGGCGGGTGGATCACGAGGTCCAGAGATCGAGACCATCCTGGTCAACGAGGTGAAACACCGTCTCTACTAAAAATACAAAAAATTAGCTGGGCATGGTGGTGTGTGCCTGTAATCCCAGCTACTCAGCAGGCTGAGGCAGGAGAATTGCCTGAA